GGAGGAGGGAATTATCTGTTTGTATTGGGAGTGTCACACTTTGTCATTGTATTATTATTGGCTGTAAACTGTGTGTCCCTATCCCCTGCAAGGTCCATGTGGGAGTGCCCCTTGCATGGGGACTTGCATGAAAGGCCAGCTGTGGCTTCCATTAAACACGCTTGTTTTACCCTTCATGAAGGCTAGGCTCATGTTTGGGGGATTGGAGAACTACATTCACTCTGGGGATTGCTATAATCACTACTCCCCTGAGTATAATCACTAAGCTCTTGTCAGAGCTGTTCCTGCTACGCTCTCTGGACTAAAGGTCTACCTACTGGAAGCTGGATCCTGGTCTTAGGTCCAGGGTGGGTGGAGGAAGGCGAGACTCCAACCAAGCTTCGGCGGTTTGTGGGGTTTATGGTGGTTATGGTGTTCCAGTGCAGTGCTTATGGTACTCGCAAGTACTAGGAAGCAGCAATTGAAGGAGGTACTCGGTCAGGGTCCCAGGCGGTCCATCACACCTACCCCTAACCCTACCCCTACCTACTGGTAGGGTTAGGGGTAGGTGTAGGGTTAGAGGTTAGGGAGCCCTACAGATGTGTAAGTGGTTGTGGTGGCAAGAGAGGGATGCTTACAAAAATGTCTAAAGTCCCAAATTGCCTAAGTCCCGAATTTCGAAAGTGCCGAGCCAAACCGAAGTGCCGAATTGCCGAAGTCCCAGATTGTCGAATTTTGGAAGTGCCGAAACAAACCAAAGTGCCAAAGTCCTAAATTGCCTAAGTCCTGAATTTTGGAAGTGCCGAACCAAATTGTTTGCCCATGCATCCCTACTATTTAGAATGGACAGTCCCTACAATGGGCCTAAATCCCCTGTCCCTCTTTTCTCTAATATTGTCCCTCTTTTGTAGGAGCTCACAATTTTTGAGTCTGAATTTATACCAGAGCTTAACAGTAATATTTTTCACAATAATGAAAATTCTTCTAAAATTTCTCAGAACAGCCTCGCCCCTGACCACCCCCACTTCACCCACAGTTAAAGTGTCCCTCTTTGTCCATTTGAAATGTTGGGAGCTATGTGATGGCCCAAGATTTAGCACATTCCACAATAAATACAGCAAATTATCTACACTTATCACACTTAAAGGAACCCAGGAAGCACCTCTTATGGCCTTCTAAGTGACTGCCACTAGAGGTGTTACTAGACAGTAATGTAAACTCTGCCTTTTCTTTGAAAAGGCAGTGTTTATATAGCAATGCCTGCAGGGACAGGCTATAGACACAAGAACAACTACAACAAGCTATAGTTGTTCTGGTGACTATAGTGTCCCTTTCAGACATGGAAGAGACTAGTGCAAAACATTTAGAGTTTTATAAATTGTTATGTAGACCTTTACAATCTCGTGAATCACCGTGATTTAAAATATCTTAATAAAGTAATGTAGGGCAAAAATGTGAGGAAGACAACCTGCATTACTCAATGCTGTGATATATGTAATGCAAGTCAGAGAAAAATCCTACACTTACTTTGGCTGTTGTATTTGTATGGGCCTGAGCTTTCATGGGACCGCTGTATGTGGTGGAGATTGTGTTCCAGTTAATTGAAGCCATGTCAAATGTTGGTTTGTTGTCCGTGTTCCTTGACATAAATAAAGATGACAGTATTTCTTAATGACCCAATTCCTATGATGAGGATCAAGCAGTTCCAGGAATAGTATAATGAACTTATGTTGAGGCTGTGTGAGCTCTGAGATATTCAAGACGTGGACACGGGTTTGTGACAAGTGTCTCAGTCATACTGTAAGATCCACCACCCCACTGCTTTTGTTAAAGACAATATAGGATATTTATTAAAGTGTTCTGCTCTAAAAAGTGATGTCAAAATATAAAAGGGGAGGGGTCACTGGTGGAATGTGTATGCTGGCTCATATGGTGATTACACCACTTCTAATATATTAGACCACTTTAGAACAGAACATAATCTCTTCCATTCAGATTTGTAAAATATCAGTTCTATCTAGTGAAATGTATTTAACCAAATAGCTAGATGTTAATGTAGCTCTGAATATGCTAATGTTTTTTTCAAATGTCTTTTTAAAAAAAAGTCAGATTGAAGATTTTGTCATGCAAATATGTATAAAGATTAAATAGATTCACACACACTCAGAAAAATATATACTAAATATATACAAAATAGGTATACCACCTATTGTAGATGTAGATATGGTGATTACATCTGAAAAACAAATGGAACATACATAGTGCTTTCCATATAAATTAAAATAAACAATCTATAATATATGAGGATTAAACTCACAAAGATGGAGCCTCATAGGCTCTATGTACATCACCCTTGGGTGCCTATTCAGGCTCTCGATAAATTCCTGTTGAAGAACTCGAGGTCCACAATAGCAAATGTAGATGCAAATTTATTGAATAGTAATAATAAAATATTAAAAGAAAATATAGATATCTAGGGACAAGGCAGGTATAATAATAGAATATAATACAGTATTGCACCGCAATTATGGCCAAAAAGTAAAAGCAGTGGAACACTACAACATATAAACAATAAAATAATACCGCCAGAGAAAGTCCCAATAGAAAAGTCCAATAAAGTGCAAATGCGTTTCAGCCCTTGATAGGGCCTTCCTCAGTGCTAAATTCCTGGAGAAAACTTCAGGGCTTAAATAGCCCCCTTGATATACCACTGCTTTTACTTTTTGGCGCTATTGTGGACCTCGAGTTCTTCAACAGGAATTTATCGAGAGCCTGAATAGGCACCCAAGGGTGATGTACATAGAGCCTATGAGGCTCCATCTTTGTGAGTTTAATCCTCATATATTATAGATTGTTTATTTTAATTTATATGGAAAGCACTATGTATGTTCCATTTGTTTTTCAGATGTAATCACCATATCTACATCTACAATAGGTGGTATACCTATTTTGTATATATTTTGTATATATTCTTCTGAGTGTGTGTGAATCTATTTAATCTTTCTACTTTGTCTTTAGGTGTTAAGGGATTACACCTTTTTTCACACTCACTTGTACTGTCTATATCTAAGGTTGGAAGCGCCTACACAACTATATACTTTTTGTATATTTTGTTTTGTTATGCAAATATGTATGTCAGAAAAAAAAAAATTTTAAGCATCAGAAGATCAAATTTGTGGCACTCAATATGAGGCAAATTTATCATAATTAAATGGATTGCTTATAACACATCTCAAAACTTTACAAAATGCAGATGAGTAAGATGAGTATATAAGTTGATTTTCTCACCCATCCTGGGTGGTATATTTATTCCTCATTTTCATGTCCTCTACTAGAGGCAGGCCCGGACTGGCCATCGGGCACACCGGGCAAAGGCCCGGTGGGCCGCGGTGGCCGTGGGGCCGAGGCCGGCAGGGGAGGTCCCAGGATCTCCCCTGCCGGTCTATGCAGGGCCGGCACTATCCGAGCGCCGGCCCCGCTGTTTGCCACGACGGGCCGGTGGGGAGATCAAAGCTCTACCTCACCGGCCCACAAGCGGCCGCCGGGGGGAGAGAGAGGGAGGGAGCCAGCCAGCCAGGCTGGAGAGAGGACCCGGCGGAGCTCTAACTCGCAGCTCCGCCAGGTTCCTCTCGCGAGATCTGGCGCGTTGCCATGGCAACAACCGGATCTCGCGAGAGTGAACTCTAGCCTCACACACCCACGAGGACCACCAGGGAACACCGCCACCCTGCCTCCCAGCGTGCCGGACCCCCCCTCCCAGGCTAAAGGTAAGAAGGGAGGGGGGGACATAATGCCTGTTTTTTTATTTTTTTATTTTTTTTATTTACCCCCCCTACACACACACAATAACATTTATACAGCACTCTCACACCCATCACACACAGCACTCTCACACCCATCACACTCACAGCACTCTCACAGATCACTCTCACACACACAGCACTCTCTCACACAGCACTCACACCCATCACACACAGCACTTTCACACACAGCACTCTCTCACAGCACTCTCACAGAGCACTCTCACACACACACAGCACTCTCTCACACAGCACTCTCACACCCATCACACACAGCACTTTCACACACACAGCACTCTCTCACAGCACTCTCACACCCATCACACTCACAGCACTCTCACACACACACAGTACTCTCTCACACAGCACTCTCTCACACAGCAATCTCACACACCCATCTCACACAGCACTCTCACACAGCACTCTCACACAGCACTCTCACACCCATTACTCACACACGGCACTCTCACACCCATCACTCACACACATCACACACACCGCACCCCTCACACACACACCGCACCCTCACACACACACATACTGCACCCCTCACATACACACAGAACCCCCCCAACACACTGCACCACACACATACACAATACTTCCAAATATATATATATATTATACATATATATATATATACATACACACACACACACACACTACACTCTTAAAGGACCACTCTAGCCACCCAGACCACTTCAGCTTAACGAGGTCCTTCTAGGGTTAACCCATTGTTTTATAAACATAGCAGTTTCAGAGAAACTGCTATGTTTATCAATGGGTTAAGCCTTCCCCCAAAGCCTCTAGCAGCTGTCTCATTGACAGCCGCTAGAGGCGCTTGCGTGCTTTTCACTGTGAAAATCACAGTGAGAGCACGCAAGCATCCATAGGAAAGCATTATAAATGCTTTCCTATGCGACCGGCTGAATGCGCGCGCAGCTCTTGCCGCGCGTGCGCATTCAGCCGACGGGGCGGATCAGAGGAGGAGAGCTCCCCGCCCGGCGCTGGAAAAAGGTAAGTTTTAACCTCTTTCCAGAGCCGGGCGCTAGGGGGTCCCTGAGCCACATATGCATCACTTTACACCACAAACACAACACGACTAAAACCAACCTTATTACACAATACCACACCACGACCAGCTCACTCTACACACACGCAATACCACAAGCAGGCTCCAAACACATGCACAATGCTCTTTCCTGGTCTTTTGTCTCCTGGTATCCATTTATAGAGACACCAGAGACAAGTTGCAAGGAAACACAGTGCAAGCATGTTATTAAATTTGCTTGCACTGTGCAGAACAAATACAGGACTTTTTTCTCATGCTAGAGCTCTTCAGCAGAGCACTGCGCATGGTCTGCCCTGGAAGAGCATTGAACCAACATGCTCACTTTGAGAGGAGGCGTGTTTGTCATTGGTGATGACAAAACACACCTCCTCTGCCCCGTCCCCTTTTTAGTGGGCCGCTGTGTTAAAAAAATGCCCGGGCCGAATTTTTCTCCCAGTCCGGCCCTGACTAGAGGCCTGGGAGTCTGAGAGTTCAGCGCAGTATCTTAGTTGTTCCTAGAACCGCACTCTTCTGGGCAGCGATCTCAGATGTCCCACCTGGAATCTGTTGAAGCCACCCCCCCAACTTGGGAGTCAAAGCCTTCAAGAGGAGATATATATATATATATATATATACATATATATATATATATATATATATATATATATATTTATACAGTTGTGCTCAAAAGTTTTTATACCCTTGGAGAATTGGTCATTTTTAAAGAAAACACAAGTGAGCAGGCAAAACACATTTCTTTTATTTCTTATAGGATTGATATTCAGCTTTAGGTTTTAACAGAATGGCACAATCATATAACAAAATATGGCAACAAAGAGAAAAATTAAATTACCCCTGTTCAAAAGTCTGCATACCCTTAGTTCTTAATATTGTGTATTGCCCACTTTAGCATCAATGACAGCGTGCAGTCTTTTGTAATAGGTGTCTATGAGGCCCCTAATTCTTGCAGGTGATATAGCCTCCTATTTATCTTGGCAAAATGCCTCCAGGTCGTGGAAAGTCTTTGGTAGTCTTGCATGAACTTGCATGTTTGAGATCCTCCCATAGTGACTTGATGGCTTGATGATATTAAGGTCAGGAGACTGTGATGGCCACTCCAGAACCTTCATCTTTTTCTGCTGGAAGGTCAACTTGGCCTTGTGCGAAGGGTCATTGTCATGCTAGAAAGTCCAAAGGCGTCCCATGCGCAGCCATTATGCAGAAGAATGCAAATTGTCTGCCAGTAATTTCTGACATGTTGCATTCATTTTTACAAGATTCCCCATGCCTTTAGAGCACACCAAAACATCAGGGAGCTCACCCCAAGACCCTCGAGTGACTGCAAAAGACCTGCAGCAAGACTTGTTGGCAACATTACTGGTTGGATTTGAAGAAAGCGGTTGCAGCACACAAACCCGAGAATAATACTGAACTGGAGGTCATTGTTTATAAGCAATAGGCTGAGATTCTTCAGAAACGCTGCCAGAAGCTGGTGTCTGGCTGTGCATCTCATTTGCAGCACATCATAACAGCAAAAAGGTGCTCTACTAAGTATTAAGGATGCTTGCCATGAAGGGTTTGAATGGTTTTGAGACTAATGAAGTCATTATAAATTGCATTTTCAGTTGAATTTGGGGAAACCACTTGAAGCATTCGTTGTGTTGAGCTATTTCAATTGCTTTTGTTTGACTCGTTCATTGCAAACAGCTGTAAGTCTGTACATTTTGACAATAAACCAGATTTTCAATGGGGATTGAAACATTTTGATTGCAGCTGTATATGTGTATATATATATATATATATATATATATAATACATTTAATATAAATATATAATTGTTTTGGCAATGCACATGCTATGCTGTCCTTGGGGACCCAGCTCTAAACGCCAGCAGGCAGCATAGCAAGTCCCTGCCGTCCTATGTACTTACCTGCTTGCCGGCGATCCCACGCCACCGATCGTGGTGGGGGGACTCACCTGGCATCCCAGGGAGTCCCCCTGCTGCCTGGAAAAAGTTAAAATAATGTTTAAAAACAGTTACAAATAAAATTATATATACTTAAATCATATACACTGCTCAAAAAATAAATAAAGGGAACACTTAAACAACACAATGAAACTCCAAGTCAATCACACTTCTGTGAAATCAAACTGTCCACTTAGGAAGCAACACTGAGTGACAATCAATTTCACATGCTGATGTGCCAATGAGATAGACAACAGGTGGAAATTATAGGCAATTAGCAAGACACCCTCAATAAAGGAGTGGTTCTGCAGCTGGTGACCACAGACCACTTCTCAGTTCCTATGCTTCCTGGCTGATGTTTTGGTCACTTTTGAATGCTGGTGGTGCTTTCACTCTAGTGGTAGCATGAGACGGAGTCTACAACCCACACAAGTGGCTCAGTTAGTGCAGCTCATCCAGTATGGCACATCAATGCGAGCTGTGGCAAGAAGGTTTGCGGTGTTTGTCAGTGTAGTGTCCAGAGCATGGAGGTGCTACCAGGAGACAGGACAGTACATCAGGAGACGTGGAGGAGTCCGTAGGAGGGCAACAACCCAGCAGCAGGACCGCTACCTCCACCTTTGTCCAAGGAGGAACAGGAGGAGCACTGCCAGAGCCCTGCAAAATGACCTCCAGCAGGCCACAAATGGTCAGAAACAGACTCCATGATGGTGGTATGAGGGCCCGACGTCCACAGGTGGGGGTTGTGCTTACAGCCCAACAACGTGCAGGACGTTTGGCATTTGCCAGAGACACCAAGATTGGCAAATTCGCCACTGGCGCCCTGTGCTCTTCACAGATGAAAGCAGGTTCACACTGAGCACATGTGACAGACGTGACAGAGTCTGGAGACACCGTGGAGAACGTTCTGCTGCCTGCAACATCCTCCAGTATGACCGGTTTGGCAGTGGGTCAGTAATGGCGTTGGGTGGCATTTCTTTGGGGGGCCGCACAGCCCTCCATGTGCTCGCCAGAGGTAGCCTAACTGCCATTAGGAGCTGAGATGAGATCCTCAGACCCATTGTGAGACCATATGCTGGTGCGGTTGGCCCTGGGTTCCTCCGAATGCAAGACAATGCTAGACCTCATGTGGCTGGAGTGTGTCAGCAGTTCCTGCAAGACGAAGGCATTGATGCTATGGACTGGCCCGCCCGTTCCCCAGACCTGAATCCAATTGAGCACATCTGGGACATCATGTCTCGCTCCATCCACCAACGTCACGTTGCACCACAGACTGTCCAGGAGTTGTCAGATGCTTTAGTCCAGGTCTGAGAGGAGATCCCTCAAGAGACAATCCGCCACCTCATCAGGAGCATGCACAGGCATTGTAGGGAGGTCATACAGGCATGTGGAGGCCACACACACTACTGAGCCTCATTTTGACTTGTTTTAAGGACATTACATCAAAGTTGGATCAGCCTGTAGTGTGTTTTTTCCAGTTTAATTTTGAGTGTGACTCCAAATCCAGACCTCCATGGGTTGAAAAATTTGATATCCATTTTTTAATTTTTGTGTGATTTTGTTGTCAGCACATTCAACTATGTAAAGAACAAAGTATTTCAGAAGAATATTTAATTCATTCAGATCTAGGATGTGTTATTTTTGTGTTCCCTTTATTTTTTTGAGCAGTATATATACTATATATATGATCCAAGTATATATATATACACATACACATTTATACACATACATACACATACACTTTCTAAGTGTATTTTAAGTGTATATATATATATATAATCAAAATACACATAGGATGAGATTGAATATATATAATTATATATATATTTATATATAATATAAAATAAATAAATATGTAAATACGTAAAAATAAATAAATAATAAAAAAATCTATGTGTAATTTCGTTCTAACTGTATGTTGATTATATATATATATATATATATATATATATCTCAAAATACATGTAGAATGAAATAATATATATATATATATTTATATCTATACACTTATATATCACTAAAAGTATACCTATATAAAAAAAATTTATATATATATATATATATATACACACACACACACATATGTATATATAACAAATCTACGTATACATTTATGTAATATTTTTACATAATTAGGTCATTTTATTACTTACAATTTCAGGGAGCTGCATGACTAGCCAGGCCGAAAATCATGGGAATTTAATTTGCTATATTTAACCCTGTAACTTTCCAAGACACCATAAAATCTGTTCATGGGAGTACTGTTTTACTCGGAAGACTTTGCTGAACACAAATATTAGTGTTTCAAAACAGTAAAATGTATTACAACAATGATATCGTCAGTTAAAGTGAATTTTTTTGCGTTTTTCACACACACATGGCACTTACACTTACACCTACACTATAATTGTTGTGCTGCATTTCCCACCCTAGTCTTATACTCGAGTCAATAAGTTTTCCCAGTTTTTTGTGGTAAAATTAGGGGCCTCGGCTTATATTTGGGTCGGCCTATACTCGAGTATATACGGTAATTTATTATGAAAAAAATGGGAGAAAATAAGAATTTTTTTTTTTTTTTTAGTTCTACATGACATTTTAACTGTCAATGTCATAATACTGTTTGCTTTTACTGCAATAAAATACACATATTTGTATTCAGCAAAGTCTCACGTGTAAAACAGTACCCCCCATGTACAGGTTTTATGGTGTTTTGGGAAGTTACAGGGTCAAATATAGCACGTTACATTTGAAATTTAAATTCGCCAGATTGGTTACGTTGCCTTTGAGACCGTATGGTAGCCCAGGAATGAAAATTACCCCCATGATGGCATACCATTTTCAATAGTAGACAACTCAAGGTATTGCAAATGGGGTATGTCCAGTCTTTTTTAGAAGCCACTTAGTCACAAACACTGGCCAAAATTGGCGCAAACACTGGCCAAAATTGGCATTCAAATTAGTTTTTTGCATTTTTCACACACAAACAAATACTAACGCTAACTTTGGCCAGTGTTTGTGACTAAGTGGCTACTAAAAAAGACTGGATGAAAGAGGTGAATTACGGTTGAACAGACATATAGTCAAATTCAAGGTTTTGTTACGTTTTGTTTTGATCACAACGTGTATATTTTGCTCAGTCCTTAAGGGCTTAAACTGGTCATTAGTTGTTTTTTTAGTTTTACATTTAGAGAAACACACCAGGAAAGGAACTATGAAGACCAGTCTTGGCAAAAGAGTTAGAAAGAAAGAAAGAGTAACAAGACATACAGGTATAAAAGGTGTTAAAAAGACATACTAAAAAGGGGCAGTGACTCAATTTAGGATGCTCTCTTTGATCATAGTTTATTTCTCACATCCTTTCCCTAATATTCCTCCCACTCTTTATTCAGCCCTTTTACTGTTTCCCACACATTTATTTTGGGGAAAAACATTTCCG